GTCGTATATAAGGAAGTACGACACCGGTGTCGTATATAACACTACCGTTTCGAGAAGTACGCAGAGAGTATCCTTGACTACAAGGACTGTCCCGTTCCCGACCAGAGAAAGTTGTACGAGAGAAGGAGGAACAAGGTGCTGAACAACTTCGCTGTCAGCGTAAACGAGAGGTTGAGTCGGCTGAGTAGCTGGAGCGGCCAGAGGCGCAAGCTCGTCTACACAGCGCCTCCCGCAAAGCCCGCTTGATGTGCGAGTCATTCACCGATTGCTACCTTCCGTCGATGGCAGATATTGCCAAGACTACCTATAGGTCTGCCCGTACGGGAGAATTTGTGGTTGATCATACATTGCTTGGCACCACGTTCACCAACAGTCTAAATTGCGTGCCCAAACTTTCTTGTAGCAAAGCAAGGGGCACAATCATCATCACGCACACACCAGTGATTCGCAAACAGGTGGTTTGACTTCTGCATAGCCCTCGAGCAGCTGGAAATTGTGGTTGACTATGTATTGCTGGGCACCGTGTTCGCCAATTTATATCATGTGCTCAATTTTCTTGTAGCAAGGCAAGGGGCACAGCCATCATCACGCACACACCAGTGACTCGCAAAGAGGGTTTTTTGTCTTCTGCATAGCCCTGTTTTCAAAACTATAACCATTGCTATTTACAAGTTTCAATTTATTCCACAGATCGCCGACCATAATACCCACCCTCCCCGCGCAACACGCAATGAACACATCCAAGCAACCTTTGTAGATCACCTTAACGTCAACAACACACCGCTGGTGACGCCACATGGCCGTCCCCCTTTCAAGCAACAGCTACGCAACAACAGTCAGGGAGCGTCGTTGTGGTCCTCCAGGCGACGCGCGGCCAGCTTGGAGAGGTAGTCGCTCCGATTCCTCACGCGCTGGCCCGCGACCGGCTGAGAGTACGCGGTGGCGGCGGCGGACAATCTGTGCCACCTCCGCATCGGCTGCGTGGGAGGCGGGCGCCGGTTGCTCGAATTTTGTGTCTCCGTCGCTGTCGGAGATGTCATGGACGACGGGAGCCGGCTCTTCAAGTTCGGTGTCTGTGACCGGGTCATGATTGCTTTCGTCATCCGATACCTCGGAGTTTCCCTCGGAGTTTCCCTCCTGGGATTTTGATTTGAAATGTGTGTGTTGTTAGGAAAGTCTGATTTGGAAGAGCAAGGCGTGCGGTTTGGAAACACACGTTCCGATAGAGAAGAAAAGCTTGTGCGCAACACCAGCGCAAAAAACAAAAACGTGCTTCCACTTGCTGGCAGTGAGAGGTGTTGAATACACAGGCGGACAATTTGTGCCACCTCCACACCGGCAGCGTGGAAGGCGGGCGCCGGTCCCTCCATTTCTGTGTCTGTGTCGCTATCGGACACGTTATGGACGACGAGAGCCAGCTCTTCAAGTTCGATTTGGTGACCATGCCGTTACTGCTTGGAGTTGGTTGGGTCGATCACCTTGCCGCCAGCGATAGTGTTTCCCATCCTGATTGTATGAGGATGAGTTTGATTTATACAGGACATGTGTGGCTGTTCGCTGTCGGAAGTCTGCTGTCGCATATACACAAGGTATCACTGCCACACCAGTAGGAGGCGGAATCAGTGTTGTTTCCCAAAGCCACGCACATAAAATGAGATGCTTTCCGCTTTGCCACAAAACTGCAACTTGGGCGGGAAGGAGGATTACACGTAGACTATGTCATTTTGGCAATGATAGTGCATGCATCGCGTAAACACGTTTACACAATGCTTTTTTGTGACCCGGAACAATGGGGTCGATGAAACAAGCCAGACCAATCTGCTGATGCATTCAATGCTTTCAACACACGGATTCCACACACACCGCCAGTCACAATAGATGAGGATGAGAGAGGGACGATTGGTCCAATCCAGGGATAACGCACCTAATCGAGTGATTCCAAAAAACTCGTGTGTTCGAGCGAGATATCACGTGTGTGATGTGGCAAACCCCAGGAGCACATGCAGTAGGATAGATCAGCAGCCGAAAAGGGGCGAAGGTCTTCTCACATTCACGAAAAAGAATCCCAAGTACATACGTATGCGCTCGTCAAAGCTCCGCTGTGCGTGTGTGTGTCGAAGACTAGAGACATACGCATGACAAACCGACAATACTCGTTTCTCATATTTTGGAAATACTCTTTTCTCACCTGAAGGCTCTGATGCCCACGTCGGGGGGGGGGGGGGG